GAAGCTGAAGTCGGTCGTGTGGTGGGTTAGGGCGGAGGCGGGGACGGAGGGGGGGAGGTAGGGGGTTTGGCGGGGGGAGGTTAGGAGGGTTAGGGTGTAATGAGGGCTGCGGTGGAGGGCGGAGAGGATGGTGGAGGAGAGGTGTTGGTTCTGGGATGGTGTTAGTGGGGATGTGGTGGTGGGGGTTGGGTGGGGGTGGGGAACTTGCGCCGACGATGAGGATGTTTTTGATGTTAGGGTCTTGGCGGGTGGTCATCTTGAGATCTTACGACTGGGAGAGTACAGAAGGTAGGGAACAAGAGGAGAGATGAGGTTATGTAGAACGCCCTACCTACCTTTGGCTCGCGGGTGAGCGGAAACGGGGCACGGGAGAGATTCTGGGCTGGGCTTGCTTGTGCCCTGGCTCTACAAGACTGATACTTGCCTAGTCACTAGAGAGTTCTGTCATATGAAGGCGCTGAGATGAATCCCGCTGAAGCTCTGATCGATCATGAAGTGCCGAAGTTGCTCGAGGCTCAAGTGTGCCCTGCAGCCGTTCACAGAGAGTTCCTTGGGCTAACCAGATCTGGAATGATATGGTGATGTCGGTGCTCCCGCTCAGAACATCGCCGCCGGAGGATTCAGACTGATTCCTACTTCTGGCATGGAGCTTGATACCTGCCTTGGGTAGCTTGAGGCTGGACAACTTCGCATCCGGTTCAACCTAGAGCGTTTGCCTGGGGAGTTTTTCCCAGGCAAGGACAACTTGACCTCAAGCCTCGTCCGCGGGGTGGCATGCAGGGACTTTGATGCAGTTAACTCACCCAATCATCCAACCACCCAATCATGCGCAGATGGCCGTATCTCCGACTCTGCGAACGCGCCTTTAAAGCACAAGAGCCGCGTCTGCCTGGTGTGGCTGATGACGAACCCAAGTGAGGTGATAAGATTTAGGTAGTGCTCCTCACTTCACAGCTTTCACTCCCTTCTTTAGCCCACCGGAAACCGCTTGGACCACGAGTCTGTTTCTTCCGTAACTCAGTCTACTTCTTGAAGCCCTCTATTGCGCATCTCCTCCTTATGGCTTCCAGACGAGATCAAGACGTGTCAGGCCGCGGCTCTATCACCGACAGCCCTACGGATGGTTACTTCAACCGTCGCCAACATCCTCGGGACCTCTACGTAGCGACTCCTGCTTCCAGTATCGCCGAATTGGAGGGAGACGCAGCTGTTAGATATGCAGGCTCCAGTGATTCGTCGCCGAGCCGGTCCCAAGTAATATACACGCCAACCTCGACAGCGCGTTCTGGCGAGACCACGCCGTTGCTGGAGAGGGACGCTCCTCCGGCCTACACCGCTGTAGCGAGTGCCCCTGTGCCAGCAGTAGAGAAGCCAACCGCACCAACTTTTGGCCTCTTCGATTCTGCTCGCGCGTCCAAGCGGGAGAATGCAGGCGGTGCTGATGATCTTGGTGAGTCTGGCCTTCCAACACCGACAGTCCGGAGACCATGCTGCCGGAGACCGTGTGCCGCCTCAGGTGGGACATCCAAGAGGCAAATCCTGCTGTTTGTCCGGCTGTTTGTTGGCATTGTGGGTACACTGCTGCTTGTTGGTCTGCTGTTCCCTGACCACCGGGATGAGGTGAGTAGCCCGATCAAAAGGATCTAGATTTTTTGCTAAGTACCTGTGAAGGCTCACCGCGCCCCTGGTGTACCGGAGAGGCCGATTGAATCTGAACCGGGTTCTTCCAAAAGTGAGTACGGAGCCTATGACTGTTCAACGGAAGATATGTTTGAGTCTGAGGACCTATCCGCATTCCAGTATCAGGCCGTGTACCAAATCGAGCACTCTCTACAACGGCAGAACTGGATAGATCACAATGGGACCTGCACTGGCAGATCGAAAATCGAAGTTGGGGCCGTGATCTGTCACCGCCTTTCTCCTTTTGATCTCAGCATCCGGGTTCATCATCCGAATACGTTGCTACATGCCACATGCAGGATTCTCTACTAGTCCACGCATTTGTCTAGCCATTCGCCCGCCATGCCTAACACCACTTATTTCGAATTTCTCCCTCGACACATCCTCAGTCGCCTCTGGCCGCCCGAGAACCACATTCGTCCCACCTCTAAACTCCGGATCTCTCCCAAGCGTCTACCTTACTAACTCAAGAGGTTTCAGACACCGAATCGCGCCGCACAATCATCAACGTCGGCTCCGGCAGTGTGTCCGGCGCCTACGCCCTGCGGGACTACCTCTCCATCCGCACAACCAGCGGCTCCATCAGCATCACCGTCGACCCGCAAGCCGCGGACCCCAACTACCCGAAACCGGCGGTGTTCGAAGCGTACGCCACCGCAGGCAGCATACGAATCGACTTCCCGACCCGTGGCGCTATCCCAGACCGCGTGTACGAGGTTGCGGTGCACTCGGACATGGGCTCCATCTCCGGCACGTTCATACACGGTCAACACACGAGCTTGAGCGCGCTGTCCGGTTCCATTTCCGCGACGATCCTGCCGTATAGCGCGGGGAATAGGTCGGCGCTGCGCACGGATACCATGTCCGGCCAGACGACCGTCACGGTGCTCGCGCCGTACAAGGACCCTGGCACGGTGATGGGCAGCATGGAGAGCCTGCATAAGTCGAAGAGCGGCTCGATGAAGCTGGTGTATCCGCAGGAGTGGGAGGGGACGGTGGAGGGGAGGACGGTGAGCGGGAGCCTCAGGATGCATGGGAGGGACTTGGAGGTTGTGCGGGAGGACAAGGGTTATGTGAGGAATCATGTGGTTGCAAGAAAGGGGAAGAAGAACAGCAGGATGGAATTCAATGTCATGAGTGGGAGCGTCACGGCTCAGATTGGGGATCTTTGATGCTTGTGTAAGAAGTTCTGTGATCCTAGAGAGGGAGACACTTGAGGCGTTGAGGAGGCACAGTTGGCTGAGTACCACGCTGAAAAGTTCAGCGTTGAGTAAGCAGGTAGTCTTATGTATTCTATTGAACACGGCTTCCAGGACTGCGAAGATTAGGACGCCCAAACTCGATCTCCGGTTCTTGGCATTGATGAAAGAACCGATCCGATTTCATCTTATCTTATCTTATCATTTACCTTGGCGATCTGCATCTGCTGGCAGACCCCCGGGCCATGCTTGCGGCCTGGCAGCTAGACATATCTAAACAGCCACCATCACCACCGACGACAATAGCAAGTACAGACTCGCAGACCACACGAGGCACCCTTTGAAACCTCTCTCCTCGCGCGGCTGGGGTCCGAGGGACCGCCGCAATGAGCTCTTGTAAGCCCGCACACACGTCTTTCCGCATCCGGCCCACATGCATAGGTACTGACTTCAGGCCTCCAACAGTAAAGCAGTTCATCCGCAATGTCCGAGCAGCGAAGACGATTGCAGACGAGCGAGCGGTGGTGCAGAAGGAGAGCGCCGCCATACGATCCAGCTTCAGGGAGGAGAGCGGCGACTCGAACGTGCGCCGCAACAATGTCGCCAAACTCCTGTACCTCTTTACCCTCGGGGAACGGACTCACTTTGGGCAGATAGAGTGTCTCAAGCTGCTGGCGTCGCCTAGGTTCGCGGATAAGAGGCTGGGGTATCTGGGGACTATGCTGTTGCTGGATGAGAATCAGGAGGTCTTGACGCTGGTTACGAACTCGCTCAGCAAGTTAGTCACGCTGGAATGTGACGGACGTGGATTACACTGATTTCTCTGATCACAGTGACCTCAAGCACTCGAACCAATACGTCGTCGGCCTCGCCCTATGCACGCTCGGAAACATCGCCTCGGTCGAGATGTCGCGGGATCTGTTCCCGGATATCGAGAATATAATATCCAGCCCCAACGCCTACATTCGCCGCAAAGCCGCGCTGTGCGCCATGAGAATATGCAGGAAAGTGCCGGACCTGCAAGAGCACTTCCTCGAAAAGGCGAAGCTCCTTCTGTCGGACCGCAACCACGGCGTGCTGATGTGCGGCCTGACGCTCGTAACGAGCATGTGTGAGGCGGACGAGGCAGAGGGTGGCGAGAATGGCATTGTGGACATGTTCCGGCCCCTGACAGGGTCGCTGGTCAAGATACTGAAGAGTCTGGCGACTTCGGGTTACGCGCCGGAGCATGACGTGTCTGGAATTACGGATCCTTTCCTCCAGGTCAAGATTCTCAGTCTCCTGCGGGTACTTGGACGCGGGGATGCGCGAACCAGCGAGCAGATTAATGACATCCTCGCGCAAGTAGCTACGAATACGGACTCTTCGAAGAACGTTGGCAATTCTATCCTCTATGAGGCGGTACTCACGATTCTAGACATCGAGGCTGACTCCGGCTTACGGGTACTTGGTGTCAACATCCTTGGAAAGTTCCTTGCGAACCGCGACAACAATATCCGATACGTCGCGCTCAATACCCTCATCAAGGTCGTCGCCATCGAGCCGAACGCGGTGCAACGACACCGAAATACTATCTTGGACTGCCTGCGAGATCCAGACATCAGCATACGCAGGAGAGCCCTAGACTTGAGCTTCACTTTGGTCAACGAAAGCAACGTGCGGGTATTGATCCGGGAACTGCTGTCATTCCTCGAAGTGGCAGACAACGAGTTTAAGCCTATCATGACGTCTCAGATCGGCATTGCGGCGGATAGATACGCGCCCAACAAGCGGTGGCATGTTGACACTATGCTCCGAGTGCTGAAGCTTGTAAGTTGGTTTTGAGAGGCACACGCGGGCGCTATGTCTTAGCCAGCATGCTGACTTTGCATTGTCAGGCTGGCAACTACGTCAAGGAACAAATACTATCTTCCTTCGTCCGATTAATAGCAACGAGCCCTGATCTCCAGACATACGCTGTACAGAAACTCTACGCTGGCCTCAAAGAAGACATCACTCAAGAAGGTCTCACGCTAGCCGGTGCCTGGAGTATCGGCGAGTACGGCGACGCCTTACTCCGCGGCGGGCAATATGAAGAGGAAGAGCTCGTCAAAGAAGTCAAAGAGAGCGATATCGTAGATCTCTTCTCCAACATCCTAAACAGCAGCTACGCCAACCAAGTCGTGACAGAATACATCATCACCGCCGCCATGAAGCTTACCACGCGCCTCTCCGACTCCACCCAAACTGACCGCCTTCGCCAGCTCCTCCGCAGCTACCAAGCAAACCTCAACGTCGAGATCCAGCAGCGCGCCGTCGAGTACGGCAACCTCTTCTCCTACGACGACATCCGCCGCGGCGTCCTCGAAAAAATGCCACCCCCTGAGATCCGCGAGGAATCCCGCGTCCTGGGTGAAGCAACCAAGAAGCAGCAGCAGGCCAAAGCTAAACTCGCGACCAAGAAAAAACCGAGCCAGATCACGGAACAGGACACGCTGCTCGACCTTATGGGCGGCTCTGAGCTGCCGGCTGCAGACACCAGCGCCACGATCAACGGCTCCCAGAACAACGCTGATCTTCTCGCTGATATCCTCGGCGATGGGGCAGCTGTCTCGTCACCGCCACCGCAAACCACATCGCCACCGCCCAGTCAATCCCAGCGATCGAACGTGGATTCTATCATGGACCTCTTTGGCAACGGCCCCACCGCATCGCCAGCACCGCCGCCCCAACAACGCTCCGCTCCCGCAACCTCCGACGTCCTCGGCGGCCTTGGGGGCATGGCTTCCCCACCTCAATCATCAGCACCGGCAGCGGCAGCAGGCGTGCCAGCCCACATAGCCTACAACAAGAACGGCCTCCACCTCACCTTCCAGCTGCAGCGGAGCGCAAATGTAGTCCAAGTCCTGGCGAAATTCAAAAACACGACCGATTTCGAGCGTCTGAGCGGTGTTAATCTGCAGGCGGCGGTGCCGAAGAGCCAGAAGTTGCAGTTGGCGGCTATCAGTAGCAGTGAGATTGAGGGGGGAGGGGAGGCGAGCCAGGGGATGAGGGTTATGGGGGTTAGTGGGGTGAGTTCTTTCCGAGCTTCTGTGTCTGTGTGTGGATTTGTAGCTCTGGAGCCGGGGTTGGGCGAGTGTGAGAATGGTGATGCTGACGTATGGTTTTGTAGCCACCGCCCGCGAGGCTGAGACTCAGGCTCAAGATCAGTTATGTGAAAGGCGGAGGGCCGCCAGTGACGGAGCAGGTGGACTGGTCGGAGCCGGCTTGAGCTAAGTTTGCGACGCGGGATGCTGTAGGGATTTCGGGCCTGGCTAGTTGTACAGCGGTCATGGACGCTCTATGTGGCGGGTGAGGAAAAGGGGATCTGGCATCTGTGTGATGTCATGGGCAGCTCGCCGGCAGTTCTTGCGCCGGTCCTGGCTGCAGATAGAGGGGATCTCTGTCGTGAAGGAGTCCTGGCAGGGTGGGGTCAGAGGAGCTTCCCGGGGTCCGTCACGTAAGAGTGCCGGCTGAGGAGAATGTAGGAATACCATGAATGGTTACGGGATCCGAAAAGATTTGTACTTCGAGTGAAGCCTTAGGTGTGAGGAAATTGGCAACGCCGACTGCGTCAATACCGTCTACGGTGCGTGCAGTGACCCCTACCATAGGTGTCCGATACTCGAAGACGCCGAAGGGTTGAAGCGATATGTAGATCTGCTCGTGGCATAGTAAACAATCATCAAAGGCTTCAAGATTCCCCGTTTGAATGGTGGAGCTGCGGGCCGGCCCGTCTGAGGCACGTGGCATGGTGACCCCGTGTTACGGACGTATGAGCCTTTTCCAGCCCCCAACCTGCACCGTGAGGTGACATCACGGCGGCATGGCCCAAAAGGCTCTGCTTTCCGATTTCAGATGGTAAAGTGTACCGGAAACTCCTTGCAAGAAATAAGATCCTTGAGGATTCAAGGGTACGGAAATTCTGAGTCATTTATATTGCCGGGGGGCCAAAAACCCATTTAGAAGAGTCTCAGGGCTGCATCTAGAGACGCTGTCTTACCTTGAAGAACGACCTTTATATCCCTCTCTGAGTCGCAATGCTCTCACAACGTACTCCGCTGCTCCGTCCGGCGGTATGGCGCTACCTCAACCCCCATCGCATCTCCGCGCCATCACCAGCCCTGCGCTCGGCAACCGCACCGCAAACCGCCAGCTTTTCAACCACTCCTTACAACCCGCTCCAGAAAGACTCTCTCCGTAAGCCCGCCGCAGACGAAACGCCAACGTATCCAGCATTCAGCATGGAAGGCCTAGGCGCCAGCCGCACAGTCAAGATTGTTATCTATACCGCAATCACAATTATCGGGACGATTGAGACGTATGCATATGGCAAGTGGGCTTGGTATAAGCTGTATCCGCCGCCGAAAAAAGAAGAGGGCGGCGGTGACGCAGCTACAAGCTGAGAGGAGAGAAAGAGGGCGTTTGGGGTTATGGGATCTCTTTCCAAAGGGTATTGGCGCGAGAAATGACATGTTGTGTGGTCGCAGGCATGGGGGAGTTAGGAGTCATGGCCCACACGAGGTTCTGTCGGTATCTACCGGGGTGTGTCAGGATCTCTGGGGACTTCATTTGTCCGATCACGAAGAACACACTGCTCCATATCCTGTATTTGGCGTTGCTCCAATCTCAACTTAATTCTCTGTCACGGTTCGTCAAGCATAGCTCGTGCCAACTGCGTGAGTTTGCAACTCATGTACGTCCCTGCCTTTTATTGACGTTTCGCAGCATATCTGGTTTCAAACACCACAGTGTCGAACGCGTCTTACCTGATCGGAGCATCGCGCTCACCGCAAAATGACAGTCCGCTCTTCGTACCGAGGGTTATCAACGGCTTCTCCGTCCATGAATCCATCGAGGTAGCAGTCTCCAATGAAGGTGTAGTATCGGGAGCCGGAGTTGTGGAGTTCTTCTTTGCGAGGTCGGAGGATGAAAGGCACCCTGCTGTCGTATAAGACCCAGACTTCGTCTCCGGCCTGGGCTGTCGGATAACACAAGCCCATGTGATCCTGTTCCGTAGTGAAGAAGGAGCGACGGTAAGTGGCAAGCATTTCCAATCGTTCGACATCTACATCAGGCACAGCCGTGGTGTGAACCAATCTACCCAGCTTTCGTATGCTTTCACGTCCATGTGAGTGGCTCTATCCAGTCTGCTCGGAGAGGTAGCCATAGTCGTGAAGCTAAGGTCTCCAGTGATAGTGCGCCAGAAGGCCCTCTGTCGCTACATCGTGATCAAGTCCTTATATTGGTACTTCTTCGGAAGGTGCGCTAGCTGGAGCCACTGGGAATAAAGCGGCCTACGGTCTTCATGCCGCCAGCTTTCAACAGCCTCTGTAACTGTACTGACAACATCTACAGGAACTCCTTCACCTTCAAGCTCAAAAGTGGTTCGGAAAGTTACTTGCAGTGTTCTCAATCGCCCGACCGCTAGACAAACGAGGGTCCAACATCCAACTCGCCCGACACGCCATTTCAACGATCTAGACGATTAGGTGACCTACTAACTGTTTATAGTAGTTGTCTAGCTGTTTATAGGAATACATCACGAGTCTTAGTAGGTATTATACCTTATTTTCTTGATACCTAAATGTGTCTATCTATTCATATCAATTTCTAGCCCCTAAACTACCCCCTAAACCTTACCACCACCCTTGTATACTCCTACCGCTCCTACTAACCTTCCTCCGGTTCCTCCACTATCGCGATACGGTGAGTAATTCAATGAGGGCGGGCGTGATAGAGCTTTAATCAGGGTATTTAGCAGCTGACATTATGTGAGAGAGCAGTATTCGACTCCGTAGAACTCTCTCAACTAGTTACCACGCGCATAGTTCTCTATTAACTAACCACCACGTCCTTGTTTAAGACCTCCGCTCTCGGACGGAGCTCCACTATATTAAGAGCCTTACAACTAGGGTTCCGCAGCCTCAGATAGCCTAGCGGCTCGTTCAAAGCATCACGACGATAAACGGACGATAATCGGGCGAGGGTAAACGGGCGTCGTTTCAACGATTTCAGTTGGGCGATTGAGAACACTGGTCCGGATTCGCGATTGAGTTGGACTCATGCAGCTAACAAAACCGATTGCATACGATTGAAAGCATACGATGTTCAGCCGGACATCCGTTTGGTGCATTGATCACTTGAGCCGTTTTATATCTGTAAAGTGCGTTTGCGTAGTACACAATTTTATTGCCGCAACGAACTTTATGAATGGCCCGTACCTGTTGTCTAGGTAACCTGCAGGCTAAGGATTAGTCATTGCATCACGCCGCAGTCAGCAGTCCGAGAAGCCAACATCAGATCGCATTGGGGATTCGCAGCTGAATTCCGTGCATGCTTGAAAGTCGACGGATATGGAATCTCGCAGGTGAGTTCCAGGGGACGTTCAAGCAATCATAACTATAACTCAAGCGCTGCCGAACCATTTGCCCAGTATCTCTCGCACAAGATCCTGGTAGAGCAATTGTTCCCAAGATGGCGTAGCTGTATACAGGCATCAAAAGTTTCAAGTATGAAAAAAACCTCCATGAAATCGAAGAAACGCTGAGTTGACTGAGTTGATTTCAAACACTGCAATTACCGGTCCTATATACACGCTATGCATTACCCTTCTATCACACATCTACTCTATACATCTAGCTGCTCAGATGAGGTCTTCTCGGGAAGCTTGGCCGAGCTGACCGACAGACCCCTCACTGCTAGGACATCCCCGCGCTCGCGGTATACCTTCTCCATCTGCCAGTTGAAGGGGCTGCCGGTGGAGAAGAGGACATCGATGGACTCCAACGACCTGCCAGCAGTCTCCGGATAGACTGGATATTTGTTAGCACCGCTATATTGGAAGAATGTCGGCGGGTAAAGCTTACAGAGATACACAATCGGGATCCACAAGAGGTTCAAGCCGGCGAACAAGAAGTATGTCCTGTTCTCGAGCGTCTCGAACATGATGGGGTTGACGAGCACAGTCCAGCCAACACCGATAGCCCAACCAGTGATACCGAAACCGTTACCCAGGGCGCGCATGTCCGAGGACCAGATCTCAGTCGGGATCAAGAATGCAACAGTGCCCCAGGTTGCAGCGTAGCAAAGATTGAAGAGGAACAACATGCAGACTGCAGCAGGGGCATAGCTGCTCGCTTTCGCCGGGTTGGCGCGCGAGGCTTCGTAGACGGAAGCGGCGATGAGGTTGACGGCGAAAAGCCCGAAAGCGCCACCCATGAGGCAAGTACGGCGGCCGAGACGGTCAACGATCTGAGCGCTGATGATCGTGCCGATTATACCGATGGTGTTCAGGCCACCTGCCAGGCCGTTCTGAGTGAGAGTGCTGTAGCCGGCAGCGGAGAGGAGAACAGGCGAGTAGGCTGTGACGGCGGTGATACCAGTCCATGAGGCCATGATTTGGAGCCACAAGCAGAGCCAGGCGCGGCGTCCGAGGTGTGAGCCGGGCTTGCCGCCACGGCCGATGAGGATCATCGCGAACTGCATGGGTGATTGAGGCTGAGCTTCCTTTGCGACGGTGACGATCTCCATGAACTCGGTCTCGACATCAGCGTCCCACCGGCCACGGACGCGCTCGAGCACCTCACGAGCGTCGTCGTAACGCCCGACAGAGGCGAGGAACCGGGGGCTATCGGGAAGCATCTTAATACCAGCGAGCAGCAGAAGAGCGGGGAAGCATTGGAAGGCCAGCAGGAAGCGCCATCTGATGTCAGAGTAGCCGTTGTTGATGAAGGCTAGACCGAATGAGAGCCAGTATGCGACAGAGATGCCCAGGTCTGTAGCATGTTAGGTATATCCCTCCTACATGCTTCTTGGGCCACTTACAGTTTGCAATGAAAACATAACCTAGATAGCCACCACGATGACCGGCGGTTGAGGTTTCTGAGATGAGCACCGGGGTGATGCCGGTCAAGGCGCCAGTACCGAGCCCAGTGATCACACGAGCAACGAGGATGAAGTCGCTGGACTGGGTCGCTGCCTGTAAGGCACCACCGATGAGAGCGAAGATAGCACCGATGAACAGACTGCGTCAAGTCAGCATTGTTACTACTAGACCAACTTGGTGTATACATACCCATTGATACGTCCAATGCGATCAGCGAGCCAGCCTCCAATGAAGCAGCCCACAATACAGCCAAGATAGTAGATTGAGACAATGCCACCCTGATGCAGAGTATCCGTCACAGTTCCGTCGTCCAGGCCGATTCCCACTTCAGTCACGTAGCGTGGAGACGCGTTAACGCCTCCCATAACACCCTGATCATAACCCTCGAAGAAGATACTGATCAGCGAGAAGGTTTGGATAGCGAGGTTGAGCTGGGTGGGAGAGAAGCTCTTCCACAGTGTGGTGTAACCCATGGCAAAGGATTGGATGTGTTCTCAAGTAGGGTAGAGGAGGAAATGTGAGTTGTCGAGTCTGGAGTATCCATGGCAAGTGCGCTCCATCGTCATTTATGTATCGCGTGTCCTGAGTCCCCTTTCCGAGGCTACCGGCGAGAGCAGCACAGCTCACGTAAACGCGCCGAAGCCTCTGAGGGCGGGAGATTGACGAACAGGCTTGTTGCCTAGTAAGCCTAGTATGCCATGTGCTTATTCCCACGTTCTCTCCACAGAATCTCAACTCTACGGAGCAGGTCTGGGCGACTGGTTGTGGAGGGACGGGGATAGCGTGGAGAGGCGGAGATCTGGCTGGGCTTTTTTCCGAAACAAAAGATCCACTAAGTGAGCCGTTCTGCCGTTTATCAATGAGAGTCTAGTACGCGAAATCGGACATCTTTCGGAGCACCGGCGTCTCTGATTTGTCCAACCATTAACCCACGACTCGTTGCCGTTCAGGCGATCGGCCGTGGTGCGCTTCTTGCACGTCTATTGATTGCAGATGTCATCATCTCTACAGCCGCGGCAGGGCTTCAACCGAATCGCGGCTCCGGTCCGTCTCCCCATGGTCATCGGATATGGGGTGCTCGTGGCATGCTGAACGGCCAATGCTGTTCCAGCCGATTGACGGCAGCAAGCTGTAATCCGTGATATATCAACGCAATGGTTTTCCCTGTGGTGGTCCATCAAGCTCCCATATCTTCGCAATATCTCCAATTGACTACCTTCTTTCTCCCCACTATCGTCACAAACACATCACATAAACATCACATCCACACCTCTTGACGGGATATCAAAGCGTACAAGTCGCAGACACAACAGCAGTAGGACATCTCTGTCAAACGCAGTCTGCCAAACACAATGAACGGCTTCGTGCAGGTAAACGGTGCCTCAAACGGTACGGCCAATGACATGCCAAATGGCATACCAAACGGCATATCAAGAGTCAACGGAGCTTCTGAAGGTCAGCCTCTGGACCTTACAGTCCTGGGCTTGAACAGCGGGACGTCAATGGTGAGTGAAGCCACTTTACTCAGCAACGCTTTCGCCGTTGCGTTATACACGGCCACCTCAGGCTGTGCTCTAAGATGGGAGGTTGGATTTTTGAAACGTTCAATGACTTTGATGATTATGTGGAATTCTTGTAGCTCACCGCATGTTTTTTGTATTTGTGACTTACTCGAGTTTCGCTCTTTTGCTCACCTGTCCACTCTTTACGCGCTTCAGCAAGTCAGAGAAGTTCCTCAGTTGACAATCTGTTATGCAGGACGGGATTGACTGTACACTATGCCACTTCTACCAAGAGCACCCGGACGCGCCAATGCACTTCGAGCTTCTAAAATACGGCGAAATCCCTCTCGAGCAGACCATCAAGAAGCGCGTCATGGACGTCATCCTCCACGACCGCGCCTCCGCTTCCGGCCTCTCAGAAATCAACGTCCTCCTCGGCGAGACCTTCGCTGACGCGGTCCATGAATTCTGCAAAGAGCACAATGTCGATAAATCGAGCATCGATGTCATCGGCTCGCACGGCCAGACCATTTGGCTGCTCTCGATGCCGGAGCCAGGCCAGACGAAGAGCGCGCTCACCATGGCCGAAGGCTCCTTCCTTGCCTCCCGGACGGGTATTACCTCCGTTACCGAATTCAGGGTCTCGGATCAGGCCGCGGGACGCCAAGGCGCGCCACTGATCGCATTCTTCGACGCGCTCCTATTGCACCATCCGACTAAGCTCCGAGCATGCCAGAACATCGGCGGCATCGCAAACGTGTGTTTCATCCCGCCCGACAACGCCGGCGGCGTGGACGAGACGTACGACTTCGACACAGGCCCAGGCAACGTCTTCATCGACGCCGTGGTGCGGCACTATACCAACGGCGAGCGTGAATACGACAAGGACGGCGAGATGGGCAAGCGTGGGACCGTGAACCAGGAGCTTGTGAATGAGTTCCTGCAGCACAAGTACTTCAAGCTCGATCCGCCTAAGACGACGGGGCGCGAGGTGTTCCGCGACACGCTTGCGTTCGATCTGATTAAGAAGGCCGAGGGGCTCGGCATGTCGCCTGACGATGTTGTTGCGACTGTTACGCGCGTCACTGCGCAGGCTATCGTGGACCACTACCGTCGGTATGCGCCCAAGGGCATGGAGATCGAGGAGATCTTCATGTGCGGCGGCGGCGCGTACAACCCGAACATCACTGAGTATATCCAGAAGCACTATCCGAAGGCCAAGATTATGATGTTGGATGAGGCTGGTATTCCGGCGGGCGCGAAGGAGTCGATCACATTTGCGTGGCAGGCGATGGAGGCGGTCGTTGGAAGGAGCATTCCTGTGCCCACGCGGGTCGAGACAAGGAGAGAGTATGTACTTGGGAAGGTGTCGCCGGGAGAGAACTACAGGAAAGTCATGCGTAAGGGCATCTCGTTCGGTGCGGGTAAGGATCATCTTACCCCGGTCAAGGAGATGGTCAACTACATCGACGGCAAGGTGTTCAATAACAAGTGGTAAATTGGAGAACCAGGACTAGTGCATCACTGCCAGGGCGTTAGGAGTTCCTGGTGGTTGCTGGGACCTTATATGTATAAAGTGGTTTCGTGATCATTGGGATGCACGGCAAGACTCTAAAAGTCGCTGCCTGGGGCTGGGATGTACATACGAGAAAAAGTACGAAAGCATCTGCTCGTTTTCCCCTATTGTGACGGCGTTATTTGAGATTAGGGATATCTTTGTTTCTTAAGTTCTATAGTTGTATTACAAGTACATGCTGGTACTGCATGCATTTTGACGTGAGTTTGCCTTCCATGTCTTGCATGAGGCTTTTGGTGGTCGTCATCTCGCAAAGGCTTGTCAAGTTGTTGTCGTTCCATTGCTATGCGCCCCACTGCTGCCCTCACTTGTTCTTCTTCTTCAGCGCACCTCCATCGACTGTGATTTCCTGTCCGGTTACGAACCCAGCGCCAATGAGATACTCGACAGCATCAACGATGTCCTGCGGCCGGCCAGCCCTATTCGACGGATGCTGCTCTTTATCCTTATCCGTAATCTGGTCCTCAAAGTTCATCCCCTGCTTATCGCCCTCTTTAGACTCGTGTGCAACCTTGATCCTGCCCGGCGCCACCAGGTTCACCCTGATTCCCCACTGCTCGCAGCTGATAGCCATGCTATGCATGAGTCCTAGCAGCCCACTCTTTGTCGACGCATATCCCTCCTGATTCGGATCACTCTGGTGTGCGCGGAAGGAACCGATGTGGATAATGCACGGGCCGGGACCCTGGACGTTGGAGGGATCCTGCGTCTTCATGTACGGGATGCAGGCCTGCGACATGGCAAAGGGCGCCGTGAGGTTCGTCTCGACGAAGGCCTGCCACTGTGTGATAATCTCAGGGTCTTCCATGGTGGCACCATCCTTCCATTGCGGCGTCGCGATGCCGCCGTTGTTGACGAGGACATCGATGCGGTTGTCGAAGAACTCGGCGGCTTTCTTGACGGTCGACCGGATGGCTTCGACGTCGCGGAGGTCGCAGAGCGCCCAGGCGACGCGGTCGAAGTGGTCTTTCAGGTGCACGGTTGCGGTGTACTTGAGCTCGTCTTCGTCGACGTCGAGGAGGTAGACTTTGTCGCCGTGTTCGAGGAAGTGACGGGCCATAGCGCGGCCGATGCCGCGGGCCGCGCCGCTGATGAGTACATTCCTGTGGTCAGGCATTGCGGAGACTAATGTGTGGAGAGAGGTGGTTTGTGATTGACTGAAGGGAGCGCAAGGGATCTCTTGCGTGTGGGATTGTCATGGACGACGCAGATGGGAAGATGCGAGTAATTCATGATTCGCATTAGATGACGTCGTTATGTCGTAGTATGTGTCTTGACGAGCATGAGGTATTCGGTTCAAAACGAGCGCAGCTAAACAGAGAGAGCTTCATGAAGTTGGGTAGACTCCTCTTTGCGGTGTGTAAATGGCGACTGGGATCCGTCCAGACGGATGGCGGCTGTCAGAGCAGCTGTCACAGCTCCAGGGCTCGACAGGGCGGCACCGCGGGCCGCCTTCCGAGCTTAAGTCAACAGATAAGTCACTGGATGCTGGTAGAATATTAAGCTACGAGCAGATCCTAATCTCTCCGACCGAACCGACGAAGCCCAAATTCCATCTGCAAAATCAGGTGATTCGAAGGGTCCTTGTCCAGGTGCCTATCTGGAGCTTGCACGCGGCGGCGAGAAGTCCGATAACTACTTCTTGTCTCAACGGGAAACCTCTGGCTGCCGGGAAATGTTGCCGAAAGATCAATCGAAACACAACAGATACAAGCTTCAGAGAATGCGGCTCTGCTCCGAAGCATGCCGCAGTCCGAGGGTAGGAGCTCGGAGGAAGCAGGAGCTCCGGCCTGCAGAATTACAGCCGACGGTATGGGAGAGATAAGCCCCCACCATACTCGAATAGAAGCGTTTGGATCAAGAAAGAAAGGTATGTCGAGGCGCTCTCGATAAGCCGAAGAGCCAGCCAGAGCAGAGCGCGTCAGTCGCAATAAGACAAGACCAAAACGTTCGACACTCCTCATCCCACTCTGCGTGTCTGCGTCCGCAGGGAACGACGTTGTCGACGGGTGGTGCAGGTCAGAACAAGAGTTCCAAGCTCTTACGGCTCGTCGGCTTGAGACGTCGGCGTTGGCGCCACCCGCGTTTTAGCGTGCTGCGGAGACTCCACAGCCCTAGAGATCCATGGATGTCAGTCCACAGTCCCGCAGTTCACATCTTCCCGCAGTCCGGCGCAACCTTGGAAGCCTCTTGAATCGACCGACTCTCACACGACCTCGACCAAACGCTGTCGGTATTTATCCGCTGATGAGTACCGAAATAGGCCCTGGCCATAGGAGATACGACTGGGACATACCGTTGATATCGTCCCTCGAGACTGTCCCCTCACGACCAGAGGCCGATTGATCCCGTTGAGTTGTTTCCTTCATGTTGTAACGTTATTCGGGGCGACCGAAGAGGAAGCCCAGAGCTCACCGGAATCCTGCTGGAATTTTGCCAGCAACTGCAGAGATAAGACAACCACAACGGAGCAGCAGCGATGAAGCTTGCTATGTAGTCTTATCCCCGGTGGCGGGTCGTGCGGGAATCTGTGGAGCCCCCTGCCTCTGGACGCCACCCAGGTGCATCGCCGACCGTTTTGCGACTTGCATAGCGCGACATGCAGGAAGACCGCCTTTGCCTCATGCGGCGCGGGCGTTGCAGATCTGCGCCATAGATGCCGTGGCGGGCTTCTATTGCTTGTTTGTCTTGGCCTGCGACATCGACGCACGATGCAACCTTGTGCTTGTAAAGGATGGATGGAACCCTGCCCGACTGGGTAACCCACAGGCTATTGACCTGCCACTATGGAAAGAACCCCGCTCGGGTGAGTTGCTGGCCGAGGTGATCATGACCAGCATATAAAGGTATGATGTTTCCCACTTCTTTCGTTCGTTTCAAAGTCCGTGTGCAGTTGGAACAGTAGGATACACACGCCGGAGAGTGTATCCACTTCAACGTTCCTCCCATCATGTCCAAGTTTGCCAGCTTCGTCGCTCCCAACGAGCCAGCCGACCCTGCCCCTAAGGGTATCCTGGCGACAGCACGCCAGGCATGGAAAGACCTCTTTATCTGGAACCAAAGGGCCGAAGTCATTAATGAGTACGGGGAGGCCCGATACGAGTGGCAGAAGCCTGAACCGTTGAAGAATCCCATCAGCCTCTTCGCGCAGCTGTCCGCTCGCGACTGGCTGTTCTTCCTTGTGGGCCTCGCAGCATGGACCGCTGATGCCTTCGACTTCCACGCTCTCAGTATCCAGACAGTCAAACTAGCCGCATACTACAAGCAGTCAAACACCTCCATTTCGACAGCGATCACCCTCACCCTTCTGCTGCGCTCTATCGGCGCCGCTTTCTTCGGCCTCGCAGGTGACAAGTTCGGCCGCAAGTGGCCCATGGTTATCAACATGATCGTGCTCGGCGTGCTTCAGATTGCCACCATCTATAGTGCAACCTTCAACCAGTTTCTCGCAGTCCGGAGTCTTTTCGGCCTCTTTATGGGCGGCGTCTACGGCAATGCCATTGCTATGGCTTTGGAAAACTGCCCGTAAGCTCTTGCTTCCTCCCACCGTTGCTCGCTCGCCCCTGAAACATTCCAGTGGCTAACAAAGACATAGGACTAATGCGCGCGGTCTCATGTCCGGCATTCTTCAACAGGGCTACTCGCTCGGCTATGTCTTCGCCGCATGTGCTAACCTCGGCGTCGGCGGCTCTACTGAGTCCTGGAAAATTGTCTTCTGGATTGCAGCAGGCATCTCTATAGCCGTCGGCTTTATCCGCATGCTCTTTCCCGAATCAAAGCAATTCATCGAGGCCAAGAAGGCCGGCAAGCAGAAGAACCACACGCCTGGCCAATTCTGGGTCGAAACCAAGAAGATGCTAGCGACAGAATGGAAAATGTGTATCTACTGCATCATCTTGATGACCTGGTTCAACTACTACAGCCACACGAGCCAGGATTCCTACACGACGTTCATGCGCACGCAGAAGGAGCTTAACAACGCGCAGGCTAGCCGCGCCTCCATCCTTATGAAGGTCGGCGCGTGTGTCGGCGGCACAATTATCGGCTACCTCTCCCAGTGGATCGGCCGGAGGCGTGCTATCATAGGTGCGGCGCTGATCAGCGCCTGCATGATCCCAGCCTGGATCCTTCCGGAGGGCGAGCGCAGCTTGTCTGCTTCGGGCTTCTTCATGCAGTTCTTCGTTCAGGGCGCGTGGGGCGTCATTCCTATTCACCTCAACGAACTCTCGCCGCCTGCGTTCAGGTCTTCTTTCCCTGGTAAGCCCCTCGTCTCCCACTTCATCCGTCTTGTCCTCCGTCTCCAATACAGAAGAGAGGCGCTTGGATTACAAACGCTAACGTGTGAACATTTAGGCATAACCTACCAAATCGGCAACATGATCTCTTCTCCAAGCGCCCAAATCGTCAACGCCATCGCCGAGGCCATCAGCATGCGCTCCTCCCACGGCAAAGCCGTTCCTTCGTACGGCCCCACCATGGGCATTGCGACCGCTATCATTGCCCTCGGCATCGTTGTCACTACTGCATTTGGCCCGGAGAAGCGCGGCAGGCATTTCGAGCTGGCGGGCGCGGCAGGCGCGGCGCATGTGGCGCCTGAGGGGAAAGATGTTGAGGATAGGTTGGCGTCTGTGGGGTCGAAGGGTCATGCTGAGCAGATGGAGCTGGATGAGAAGCGGTGAGGTGTTGAATGGCTTGGTTGCTTCGCTTGAGGCAGGAACCAATGGGCAGCTGGATTGCTGTAAGTATGGTTGGTCTGGATGTTCTACCCAGTTCAACGGCCCAGCGATTGTCTCCCGTGCTGTACGAAGTGCTACAAGCACTACACTGGTATGCAAAACATACCGGACTCCTTAGCCAGGCGGTAAGCCTTGTGTATTGGAGGTTTGTACGAGATCGCACACCACTAGCATATGACTGCTTTAGATCACTAGATAGATAGACACCTAGTGATAGGTGCTTTCGCTAGAGCGTACTTAAGCTCACCGTTGCTTAAATTGACGCTCTTAGGCGGGTTTAATTCGAGTTGGATGTAACCCGATAGCCCCCCGCCTGGAGGAGAGAGAGGCGTATGACTCAGCAAGGCCATAAGGCTCGCATATCGTGACCGTGTTACGTCCAAACGGCATCAGCCGTTGGATTGTGCTCTCGGTCTCTCCGCTTGCCGGGCATAAGAATGGAGTTCGTGTCCACCCGGCCTCCGGATCCCTTTACTTACCTATTGTGACATAGGCTCATCTAAAGAAAGAACTATAGCGCAGCCCTCGCGTCAGGCGTTTAGCTCCTCACATATCAAATGCCGGATAAGCGACCTCGCAAAGTCCAGCGCGCCTCGCGGGCTTGTAAGTCAACCTCGCTCCTCACATGCCCATGCCCTAAATAATCCTTGGCCACAGGCGACTTCTGCCACAAGCGGAGCATACGATGCAAGCCCAGCCAAGAGGACGCCGAACGATGCCAGAACTGCGTGGATTTCGACATCGCCTGCACATATACTCGGCCGTGGAAGCGGGCCAGGACCTCCGTCGCAGGCTCAGAGCTAGCCACAGAACGGGCGCAAGGATGGGGTGCTGAGCCCATAAGGCAGATAAAGGACAACAAGAGCAACAACGCCAGTGCTGTAGAGGATGCCGAAGGCCAACAATCGGACCCCGATGCCGCGTATTCTGGCCGTATGGCAAAACAATACCGCAGGCACGTTGATGAGCCTCTTGGTCAAGCATGGAGGGCGTTTGCTATAGCAAGCGAATCAACGATCTGGGCACTGCTCAATGCCTACCACCGGGTCGTGTATCCAATCTTTCCGCTTTTCCACCACGAGACGCTGCTTAAGCGTCTACGCAACCACGACCACCTCAAGGATCGTGGCTTCTTTGCCTGTGTAATGGCGGCGTGCGCTTTGGCATCTGCCCGCGGCCGTGATGGCGCATTGGCGGCCTGGCAAGCGGATAGTGCGCAATCTATTCCTGTTCCGTCGGAAACATTCTATGCTGCTGCCCGGGACGCAATACCTAAGGACACTCATTGCGCCAATGAATTCGAGTATCTAAGGGCCTGTGCCCTTCTGGCGATAGTCAGTATTCAGTACGGGAAGATTGATGCTGTGCATGAGCATCTGGGAAACTACTTTACCCTTTTAGCTACACAGCGTTTCTACGATGAATCGCAGTGGCCAGCTCACTTGTCCAGGGTTGAGCGCGAAGAACGGCGGCGTCTATTTTGGTCAACGTACACCCTGGACGTATACTCGTCCACCGTCTGGAGTGGCCAGATGCGCTCAAGAGAGGCGCATGTGCAAGTACCTTATCCTAGCGAAGCCGACGACGAAAAGTTAGAAACATCCGCCATTGGACTGGTGGACCCCTCGTGCTGGCTTCACGGGTGGAATTTCACCACAGATCTATATCGGGTCCTCGAACACACCGTCGATAAGCTGCGCTCACGCCACGCGTTTAGCGGCCCACTACGGCCTATGCAGGCTGCCTTTGCGACGGACTCGTTTTCGGGCCCTGTAGTTCTACAGTCTGTTCTGGATGTCTATGCACGACTCCCTTCGCGATTCAAAACCATCCCTTCCGTAACGGGTGAGCAGGCCCACGACATCTTTGGCTTTCAGGCTGCAAATATACAAGCCACCCTCCAGTTACTCCGGATAGTCTTGTTTTCTGCAGAAGAAAACGTTGACATGGACCAGAAGTGCAATGTCGCTGCTGACTTGCTTTCCGTATTCCATAATGCGCCGGTGGCATATCTCAAGGCTATCAGCACTCCGCTGGTAAGTTTTCAATACACATCTGCCTTTACGCGCTTCAAGCGCAACTCCTACGGAGATAGAACCCGCACAGGAGTGAGAGCCGTGCCGCTCCATCACCAATTCCGGAAAGAGGATACCAGCAACACATCAGCAAAGAAAGAATCATGCAGCAGCGCAGGCGCCGTGGCTCCATCACTAACTTCTCAGCATTCTCCCTGTCCTGCAACCACTGCCTGCCCCACCGCCGCCTTTGCACCTCATTAAGTCTTGTCCTTCAATCACTAATCCCGCCAATCCGCCACCATCCCCACGAAATTGAATACCGCACTGGAATACAAACCCCACCGCTCCACCGTCAATCGCTCAGGATCTTCCCTGTTGTCCAACTACTGCTCTTTCACTTCTTCAATAGGTTCCGTCTTGATACCGGTTGCTGACCTGGCTTGCAGATCTACCACCTCGGAGGTATCGGTACGATACTGGGTTCGGTTATGGAGGGCCCACTGTCCGAAGCGTCGTACTACCGTGTTCGGGGCATGCTGTGAGTTTTCCGCGAGGGTACGAAAACCTACAGCTTTCTGACGCAAACTGGCACTCCTGCAGTCTATCCATGGCCGACCTGCTCGAGCATCTCGAGTCTGGCTTGCACCATACGGCTGGCATAAGCCGCGGGCTACGCGCACAAGTCGATCGTATCGAGGAGTACATGTCCTTGCAGCGCGCCAAAGCTAGAGACTCCAAAGTGTTGCAGCCACACGCCATGGTCAGCGCAGAGACCGCGATCGGCGCAAACACGTTGCCGAACCTCTCGGCCGCTGCTGCTCCGCCCGACAATGCCCTCCCGCCGCTGAATGGAATCCAGGGATACTCGGAGTACTCTCCGACCGAGATCCAACTGCCACCGGAACTGTTCGAAGACTGGCCCTGGCCTTTTGAGTTGAGTGGTCAGGAGTTCGGCTTCTCCTGGCCGGGTGTTGATCCATCGGGCTGGGAGATTACGGTATGACATTATGCGGGTTTGTTCTAGTAAGATTTACGTGTCTCTCGACCCTCGCGGTGATCCTGAGGTCGTTGATTCAACGCTCGTTTTATGAAGACTAGGGGGCGTCGGCGAAGGACGGGAAACTGGACAAACGTGGGGCAAGGAGCCTCCGTGCTATCGACAGGGGGTGTGATGATATAGCATTCTAAGGCGGGCGAAAGGGACGGGTTACTGTTGAAAAGTTTCCTTGGGAGGAGTCATGCATCTCGTGGGCAAAGGAGTTTGCGCGGAGTAGCGGAGCTATCGGAAGGACGACTTTAGGATCTCTAGCTACCTATTATACGCCTCTCTCCGGTTCCTAGCCTGCATATTCCATCAGGAAAAATCTTGGACGCTCAGAGCCACCGAGCGACTCTTACCTCTACTGAGCAGCTCGCGAGCGTGTCTAAGCGCTCTACGCCCAAGATTCTGAACGATTGGAGTACTGAGATTAAAGTCACTAAGATCGACAGGGGAGGAGATAATTTCTCAAACGCAGTCTCTAGCCAACGTGCGCTGTCCCTGCACTTGATTCTAGCCTTGCATATAGAAGCCGCGCGATCATTCAACTCTTTGCTGTTCAGCCAGTGCTGCTGAGAAAGAAAGATCATTAGGATGCCTAGCTCCTAAGACCAGGATTCGCAGATATACACACGCCGCCATGATGGCTTTAGTATTTCTAGCGTTATTGTGTGCGCTCAGTTGTCCGCTTTGCCCCTTTTTGATTGGTGTACCACTCAGGCGCTAGCAGCAGTGGTGGCTTTGTGGTGGAAATGAAGATATTTGCAGGCAATTGGTTCGATCTACCATGCCTTGTGAACTCTAGACAGCCTGATCGGCACATACCTCTTGCACAGCCCGCGGGTGCCTACAGTGACTTTAAGCTAATATCTGCGGCCATCGCTAGATATTCCAACTCCTGCTTCGAGCTTGCACTTATTCTATCGCCTTATCAACACTTATGATGGACGGCAACCTACACTACCCGCTAGCATCTCTATGCACAACATGTCGAAATCTCTTCTCGCTGCCAGTATCCATCTCGTCGATCGTTGCCGGAAACTTTCACGCCTACTATCCGCCACGTCTACGGGATCAATGGCAGCATTGCGACTTCTGTTGCGATATTCTTGGTATTCTCCAAATACCCTATCAGAGCGGGGTTTAGCTCTTAGAGAATCTCTTTACTGATTAATCTCACGCAGAACTAGGCAGAAGGTTAAACCGTCCTTCCAGCCTTCGACAGAACATAAAGACCCCAGATACGCCGGAAAACGAGAAGTCACTTGCGGAGTGCGGATTTCATCTCCGCCTTGCGACGCCAACTGGTGCTCCCCTTATCCATTTCATGCTGAGTTCACATCGTGCCGACAAATTCGAATGGAATTTTGCTGAACTAACTTTGGTCTCACGGGGTAAGTCTTCTTTCCAGTCAGCCCTAAGAAATCGCCGAGTTGAAGAACCGAACAGGAGCAGCAAGATCCGGTCTAGCTCTACAACCGAATCTCGACATGCGATCCAGCGAAACATATAACCTAGTCCGGCAGTGGCTAGGTGAATGTAAGCAAAGGCATACTTGGGGTGACTACGGGACTCCATCAAGGATGAAGAACAAGTGTACACTTCCAGGGTGTCGTGGTCACCTGCGAGAGGAAGACGCTGACATTGCTCCAATTTGTAACTTGCGGTCGGAACCGCCTCTTCCGATGCGCCTCATCGATTTGAATCCTCAAAGCTCGGAGAATGGAGCCGCTTCACTAGCTCCTCGCATCGTGTCACTCACAGCTCATAACAGCGATGGGATGGCTCCGTACGCTGCACTGTCCTATTGTTGGGGAGGTGAGCAGCGACACGCGCTCATGACCAGTGTTATCAATCAGTACTCTGCCTTCCTTTCAGTATCCGAGCTACCTTGCAGCATCCAGGATGCTATCTGGGTCACCCACCAGTTGAACATCCGCTTTTTGTAGGTGGACAGCCTATGCATCGTTCAAGACGATGCGGCCGACACAAATGCTCAAATGGCGAAGATGGGTGCGATATTCTCCAATTCGCTTGTTACGATCTGTACGAGGAGTGCAAAGAGTTGCCACGAGGGTTTCCTGGATCCAAGGCAGCCACATCAGACCTTTGTCACTTTTCCCTTATCTAGTGAAAGTAATGAAATGGGTTCGTATCCTTCGCAAGGGGAAGGCAACTAATGTGGGTCCCACGCGATCCAATATTTGCCCGAGCCTGGACTATGCAGGAGGCTTTCATGGCGCCAAGAGTTCTAATTTTCAGCAGCTTCCAGTTCTTCTGGATGTGCAGCAGAACTTTTGGTGCAGATGGCGGGGTGTGGAATCGCGAGCAATGGCTACGATGGACTGGTCTCAAGTTCTCCACTGAAAGTAGGGCAGCGCACAAGCTGGCATTACAACGGTCTAATATGGCATCTTGGCTACAGCTTTCGCAAGAGGAGGTGCACCGCATGTGGCGAAGCATGGTTGAGATTTATTCAGAAAGATTGATGACTGATCCTCTCGACAAACTTCCGGCAATCTCAGGCGTGGCGAAGCATGCAGCGGATTTGATGAGGCGAACCGATGAACATATTGAGTATCTTGCAGGACTATGGAGTCATACACTCATCGAAGATCTCTGTTGGTTTAGAGCACGCGAAACCACAGGTACTCGACCAACGCCATACAGAGCGCCTTCTTGGTCATACATGTCTGCGGATGCCAACATCGAGTTTCTCGATACCAAGCCATTCATAAGCAATTTAGACTCTCTCATCACAATCAAAGACTGCTCTACTACACCAGCGGCCCACAATGATTCCTTCGGTCGCCCCCAAGACGGCATCTTACTTGTCCATGGCCATGTTCTACCATGTATACGAACAAAAGATCTTGCTCACGGCCGTGTCAGAGTTCAGGTCATACAAGAGCCCAATCTGGAAGGCATTGTTCTCCTTGACGTTCTCGATGCGCCCACGGAGCGCGGCACCAATCCTTCTTCAGATACACAGAGCCCTACCTCTGCCGATAGTGAGCGGCTGTTGTGCCTCGTTCTCGCGGAGTACATGAATTTGAAAGAATGGGAACCAGATGACAAGGATCCTGATAGCGTGGTTGGATTAATGCTACAACAGCATTTGAATGGCAGATACTGCAGAATTGGTTGGTTCACGGCTGACTTTGAGTGGAAGGGTCAGATGCATGAAGAGACGAAGAGAACGGTCAGAATCGTTTGAAGCGACAAAGCAAGCAGATTAGCGGCCTGTCAAGTGCCGAGATTCATCCTTCACTACCACCCGTAAACTCCACCGAGGAATAAGAAGGAAATTGCGTGAGTAGCTTCTGTGAAGCAGGGACGGTGTTGACTCCCCTAATACGGGATTTAATCAACATGCTTGTTCAAGTAGCAGGGTAAGTAACTCGCACATAGCGGACGTATTCTGTAAGGTGCGAAAGATCAACGCGGGATTGAATGGTAGCAAGTAGGTTTCTCACTACAATCAACAATCTCAGCCGCCTGTATTGTGATTAATGCAAGCTGGAGAAGGCAGAGCAGATGTACGCGAGCACTAGTCGGAATAAAGAAAGCACTAGAACCGGAGTATACCTCGATGCTTAGGACTATCAAGAGTCTCGGCGTTCTGTATTATTATTAAGGCAAGCTAAAGAAGATAAAGGAGATGCATCTACGTGTATTAGCCGAATAATATAATAAAGCACTAGGACGAGAATATTAATAGACTTAATAAAACTTGATTTTCCACCGTGCGCCGCCTTGGCGAAAACTATAACTACCTTAAAAATTTTTATAGCAAAAACGCTTATAACGCGATAATAAATACTATAGGTCAAAATTAAAAAATCTAGTCTCTAACTTTCTAAGCCTAACCTTACTCTATTAATATATTTACTTTACAGCCTTCTACAACCGCTACTATAAAAGGCTTAGGGATTTAAAATTTTAGCTAATACTTAATTACGACCGTATTTACAACTATAGAGCTATAAAAGCTAGTAGGTGCGGCTAGTACGCTGCGGCTGTAGCTAGTGCTGCGGCTTAGTTATAAAAATACTAAGTACTAACCGCGCTAACTATACTAACTATATATATACCTTAGGTTACTAGTTTAACTTCTAGTAGAACCGCACTTTTTCTTTTTAGCTATAAGGAAGATATAGACGCTTAGGAGTATTTTATAGTATATAAAAGCTTATTAAGGTATAAAAGTATCTATATAGCTAAGAAAACCTAAAAGAACCTTAAAATCTTAATAGAAAACTTAGAAATTCTATAAAAATATTTATATAGTAGTGAGACTATAGTATTTTGTACAGCTATAAGGTAAATATATAGTCTAATAAGAGAAAAGTATGTTATATAGCTAAGAAATACTAAAGTAACTTATAGTATATACTTATTAAAACTAAATAGAAATAGAATATAGATTATGAAATAAAAAGAGTTAATAGCTAAAATAATTAAGCTATATACTAAGCTAAAAACTGTACTAAAAGCTAAATTATAATTTAGCTTATAACTAAGACTATACTCTAGATATAAGTCAAAAATAACTACTTCTTATAATACTATAAAAAAGCTAGAGTAAAGAATATTATAAAATAAAAACTATAAGATTGAATAGATAGTAAAGTAGAAAGTAAATTATTAGGTAAAGTAAAAAAAAGACTAGAAAATATACTAAAAACTATAGTAGAAATCATACTAGAGACTAGATTAAAAGCTTAGTTAAAAACTAAGCTAAAAATTAGAATAAAGAGTAAACTAAAAAGAAACTTTATTAAAAACTAAACTTAATAGTTATTTATAAAATAGACTAAGAATTAGAGTATACTAAAGTCTAGAAAGAGAATTATATTGTAAACTAAGTAGTAAACTAGAAAGTAAGCTAAGAGATAAATTAAAAGATAAACTAAGAAGGAGATTAAGAAGTAAATTAAAAAGTAAACTAAGAGATAAACTAAGAGATAAACTAAAATATAGAATAAAGTATAAACTAAAGTATAAACTAAGAGATAAACTAAGAGATAAACTAAGAGATAAACTAAGAGATAAACTAAGATATAAACTAAGATATAAAATAGAAAGTAAACTAGATAGTAGATTAAGAGATTTAGTAATAGATAAACTAAGAAATATACTAGAAAATAGACTAGAAAGTAAACTAAAAATAGGTAAGAAAGAAGCTAAAAAGATACTAGAATCTAGATAAAAATAATACTCTCTAATATAGAATAAGGAAAGCTAGGGAGGGTTTAAGAGAGTGAACGCCCCTTATTTTAAAAGAGAAAATAGAGGGTTTAAGGGAGAGAATCCCTCTTAGAAAGTAAAATATCTAATTTTACTTAAGTAAAAAAAGTTAATAGATGAAATAAGACTAAAAACTAGAATAAATAGTAAACTATAAACTAAGCTAAAAGCTAAAATAAAAACTAGACTCTAAGCTAAGCTCAAAACTAAGTAAAAAACTATACTCTAAATTCAACTAAGAACTAAACTAAGAACTAAGCTAAAAAGTAAATTAAAGGTAAAATTAGAAAGATTAATTAAGAGATAAACTAAGAAATAAACTAAGAGATAAACTAAGAAATAAACAAAAAAATAAACTAAGAAATAAACTAAGAAATAAACTAAGAGGTAAACTAAAAGAAAACTAAAAATAAAAAGAATATCTTAAATATAGAATAAAGAGAACCAGGGGGGGTTTAAGAGCGGAAACACCCCTTATATCTAAGAAAAAGAGAGATAGAAAGCTTTAGAGAAAAGATATACTCTTAAAAATCTAAATATATTAAATACTCTTTACTAATACTCTAAACCGATTTAGTATAAAATAGGCACATCTAGTAGATAGATAATAAATATAATTTATAATCTAAGAAATCTATATTATAAGCTAGGCAGGCTAAATAAAGTGAAGAAGTTATTAGAATATTCTTTAATACTAGGAAAAATCCAGGTGCTTGTGAAGTTAGCTGCGGTCCAAGATATTTAAAATATTGAAGGTACTCCGAGCGCGCTTAGAGCGCTTAGTAAGTAGCTTATAAGTATCTAAGCACTTAAAGTAATTAGAGCGCTTAGAGTAAATATAAGTTACTTAGTAAGTAAAAAAAATATAAGTTATATAAAAAATCTTGGAGTTTTCTTTCTCGCTTAATATCTACCCCTCTATAAAAATAGGTAATATATTTATAATTTTAAAAATTAAGTAAAATAATAATAATTTTTATTAAAAGTTTATCTCTAAACTAGCTCTATTATATACTCTCTCTGTTCTACTTGCTAAATTAGACTTAGAGCTTTTTTTAATTTTTTTAGTAATAACTAAGTAAAGCTTAGTATACTAAGATCTATTATAAGCGCTTAAAGTACTTATAAATAATTATAATGTAGTAGCGCAGGAGGTTTATCATATAGAAGCTAGTATAGGGTGTGTGTGCGGAGGTTTAAGGTTCTTTATTAGTAATTAGATAACTAATATAGTTAGTTATTAGTTATATTATAGTATTAAGCAGTATTACACTCGTTCTATATACCGTCTAGTCTTATGTAATCTATCACCGTGGTTCTATCGCTGCCTTAATAGTTCTACCTTAATATCTTACCTCCGCGGATATATACAATCTACTTACCTAAGTTCTATACTTAAACCTCTTACCTATAATATTTTAGTAACTATGCTAGAGGATTTATAAGGTAATATATAAGTGTATGATTCGCGGTTAAGAGCTATTATAAGAATTAGGATTTATATTAAGAATAGTATATAGGCTATAGACGTATTATAGTAAGAAACTATAGATACTAAGGACTCTAAGAACTCTACTAGATGTAGAGCATTAATAAGTAGGATAATAGTTAGAGAGAAGACTCCTTTAACTTAGTATTATAATACAAGTATTAAATTAACCTTAAGAAGTCTTAGTTTAGATTAAATTAATTAATATTAATATATAGACTTGGATATAATTACTAAATAGAGGTCTAAAAGTGGGTTATATAGCTATAAAGGGTATTGATAGTTTAGAACGATAGGACGCGCGTTTAGAAAAATAGTATCTAGTAGAAAGAGCTAGAAGCTACCCTTTTAGTAAGATTATCATTTATTTATTTCAAGTATAGCTATAAGAGAGTTCTAGATAGTTTAAATCCGCCTCTATAAAAGAATAAGGTTATATTCTAGCTAGAATAAAACTCTAATTAGTAGAAGATATCTCCGAAATCTAGAAAGTAGTAAATAGAAGTAGAACTATAAAGATTGCTATAAAATAGCTAGTAAGTATTTATAGAACTCTTCTCTTACAAGAAATTAGCGCCGTATTCTTATAGAAAGCTTTTAAGTGCTATTTACTATTATACTACTTACTTTTAAAGGATTTCTATTTACTCTTATTAGGACTTTCGATTTAATCTATTTTTTACCCCTAAAGATATCTACTCTATCTCTTGGACTTAGTTCCGCCTAAGCCTATACCGCTAGAGATACTACTAGTTTATTAAGTAGTAATAATAATAGTGCTTCTCTACCTACTCTCTCTCTTAGAGAAACTCTAAAGCCTATATCTATTCCTATAGGCGGAGCTTCTCCTAAGGATCCCCTACTAATATAAGGAATGCTATAGACTAGCTTATATCCTATTTTAAATCTCGTCTAATAGCTTTAAAGATACTAATACTTATAGTAGGCTCTCTTAAACTTCCTCTTTTTAATAGCATTAATACTACTTACTAGCTTTATTAGTATAAGGCTACTATAAGGAATTACTATCTTACTAATAGAGAGTGAGCTACTAGGCTTCTAAACTTCTACACTAAGTGGATATAAGCTACGATTAAAGGGATGGAGAAGTAGAAAAATAATAATTAGGTGAAACTTAAAGAGTACATTAAGCTAGAGTTTTATAATAATAACTCCACGTAGTATATTAAGACTCGATCTTTCTTTATTAAATAGCTTTTTAAATATAAGACTAAGGTTACTAACCTTAAAGCCTTTACTTATAAGTATATTATTATGTTCTAGAAATGTGTTAATAACAGAGTACTTAATTAATACTTATAATATACTTAGTTTCTTTAGAAATTACTTATTAAGATCTAGGAAACTCTCTTTAAGTAGTGTAAGTTTATAACTTATAATCTAGTATTCTTCTAGTTTAAGTAGTTAATAGAGGAGGTTAATAAGTTAATTCTTATTAAGAA